ACCGACTAATTCCTTCACCGTTAAAGAGGCACTCGCAGCGCTTCTGCATGGGTTACAAAATCAGTGCCCTTGTCCTCAGTAGAAAAGTGGTGCGATACTTCGCAGAGCAATAGTAGTGCATGCTCAGCGCGTCACCAGCAAGCTGGTCATGGATCGGAGAGCCCTGCTTAGTAAATGTGCCTCGCAAATTCTATCCGAATCATCTCAACGTTTTATGGTAAATTTAACTATAGTTGCTTGCCGCAGCGTTAACATACCCTCGTGTGCAACTCTTCCGCTCACACCAAGAGCGAAAATAGCCTCAGATATTTCCTTTGCGAGCGCATCCTACCCCCTACAGGTCATCACTCCTCAGAAGTACTACCTGAGCTCAGTACAGCACTGCCGAAAACTCCATGAGGGACGAGCTTGGGTTCCGAAAGAAAGCACGCGAGAGTGCAGAAGATTACCTTACTCGAATTGCGCATAGTGTAGACTAAACGAGCTATCAAATCCGCCTAAAGATTTTCAAGCCATCTTAGGCGAATCGTCTGTCCGCTGAAGGCATCAACTCATGCTTAAAATTACGAAGTACAAAGCGCAGCACGAACGTCTAGGGAAAACCCATCACCTCCAGTCCTGCAATGAAGTCCCGCTCTATCTCATGACAAAGCAGCTAGGGATACTGACCAAATAGTTTGGCCTGAGAAAGCACGCTTTGAAAAATGGCGCTTCCTTCAATCTCCAAGACTAACTTCGAAGTAAACAAGGCGTCAGGACAATCTTGCCAAAAACAATTCTCAATTTTGATCAGATTTCCAAAGCGGCCATCACTAGATACTGATGAAATCTCTTGTTTATCCGCCCTCATACGAAAAATTTTACGTGCAAGTGGGTCACAGCTTGCTAACGAGCAGTGATTTTCGAAGGTCGGTCCTACTGCGGCTTGCTCTCGTGATTTCTCTCGGTTGTGGCAGCCCTAGGCACAGCGTGCATTCGAATTTGCGACGGGTTAGATGTGCCATTTGTGTTTCGCCATGCCTTTGCACTGCTTCAGGCACCTCCAGCAGTTCAGAACCACGTCGCTGCTTTTGAACAGACTGTAGCTGAGTTATAAGAGATGGTAGAGTCGTCGCTCCGTCAGAATAGAGCTGTTTACAGTTCGCCTTCTCTTGAAACGTTCATAAAATAGTTTAATCTTCGCTACTTTCTCGAGCACTCCGAGGTAGCAAGGTCGCTACTTAGTCTTATAATACTCAGATTTGCATAGTCAAGAAGGCTAACTGCATTCAGCAATAAAAATACGCTTCACTTCATATTCGTGTGAGATTTACCTGCTTCTGGCATTGACGTTTCGACTTTGCGCATTCTAGCTTTCAGCCAGAGTGTCGCGTACCCTGCGCATAACAAACTCATAGAGGGAGAGAGAAGTTTGATTGACATCTTTTCCCCCACTAAGTCGGGAGTCAATTTTACCAAACAATTGATGTACGAGCCGCATGCGGCCACGTTGACACGTTTCACATCCTCGCACATACATACTTACCCACTTTCCATATTGAGTCACCCATGCAAAACCTACACATGTTAGAACTTGTAGTTACATATTTTTGTTTGAGCAAATGTGACAGGATAACAAGTTGCGATGTAAGAGCAAGGTTTTCCATTCAAAGTCACTTCTTTCCTTTCACTTGCGAGATAAAAAATCCGGCAGCAAATGCGACGATTACCATACCAATGGAGTAAATCTGGCACTTTGGAGGTACGGGACAGCTGTGGTAGACAAAAGAGCATTTTGGTTGCATCGGAATGATCGTTTGCAACTTCTTTTTGAGCTCCTTAGCAGCTTTTCCAGGCTGTGCCACCTTGTGTCCACATTCGATAAACGCGGCCTCAACTGCTTCCACGGTCTTCAAGATATGATCTAGACGGCGAGTGCTTGGACCCATGTGGCCAATACGAAAGTAATCCGTCTTAATGACCTTGTGAAGACCACCAGCAAGTGATACACCACGTTTCACCACCTTTGGTAAGAAGTCAGCAGCACCTACACCAGTAGGGTAGCGTACGCATGTCAATGTGTTTGCACTGCTATCGCTTGTGGTCACCAACGAACAACCAAGCATCTTCATCGCCTCTTTTATAGCATCACCGACGAGCTGATGCTCTTTAAATCGCTGTTCCATACCACCATTTTCAAGTAAAATGTCCAACGCAACGTTGAGAGCAAACAGGTGATTTACTGATGGCGTTGCGAAGTAACTAGGTTGCCGAGCCTCGTAGTTTTTCATGATCGGCAACCAGTTTCGCCAGTCCACATAATATTTAACTTTTGAAGTGTTCTTTTCAAATAAATGTAGCGCACGAGGGCGAATGACCATTAGACTCAGACCGGCAGGAACGCCCAAACACTTCTGCGAGCCTGTGAGTACCACATCAAGGTCCCATAATTTCATACGCGTCTCCTCGCCACCAGTAGCACAAACTCCATCCACAACAATGACAGCATCAGGCTGAAAGCGTCGGATAGCGGCTGCAAATTCTTTCACATGAGCACGAACACCCGTGGACGTATCCACATGTGTGATCGTGACGACCTTGAAGCTTGTTCCACTTTGAAGAATCTTTTCCAACTCTAAAAGTGAAGGTTGTGCGCCAATCTGCACTCATTTTTTAGTATTTAGCAAGTTGTTCTGATACAAATACATTTCGTTCATACCTTGCAACGGAGGTGAGCGATCGTTGCACCATAACGCTCAAGACATTCGGCAAAATTGTCACCAAAGTATCCTGTTGCAATTTCGTTAGGCATTTAGAATCTGTTACTTTTATTAGAAGACAACACACCAGTATTGACAACAAGCACATCGTCGCCTTCGTTAACAAGGTTAGCGCCGACCATATCCCATCCAAGTGTGCCGGAACCCGCTACAACGAGAGGCTGTCCATCAGGAGCTAAAAAGACTTTACGCATCTTCTCAAGGCACTGTCCAAAGACTTCAATCACTGTCTTATCGACGTGCGAGATGCCCTCCATGGCAAACGACTTGAGCACACGGGGCTCAAATTCGATAGGGCCAGGATTCATGCATAGCACCGTTTTGGTCATGATACTGCTTAAGATACAACGAACGTTAAGGGGATGAAGAGTGGGTCTAAATTAATCCATTTCTTACAAAGATTGTTTTTGATAAATAGAATTCCATCACAGCTATCGAGTTGTATTTTGGAGCTTTTAATATATAAATCGAGTGTAAATATTAACTGAAAGGTAACTGTTATCGGGCTCATAAATTAAAGCGTAATTTTTAAGAGTTTGCTTTAAAGCTTCAAAGTTTTCAACGCAACAACGACGAAGACTGTAACCTGCACTGCACTTCCCAACCAAGTAATGATTATTTGCTCCACATCCGTTGATGTACAATTTGCTTACTCTAACCTACATCAATATCTTAAAATTTACAAATAATGTATCACAACACCAATTTCGTATGAGTAGCAAATTTACTATTTTTTTATTTTGTATATGCAAGTCTTCTTGTACTTGTACATGTCTTCTCCACACACTTGTCGACAATAGACACCTGGGTAAGTTGGATTTGGGGCAACAACGCAATTCAAGTCCAAACAATGACTACAAAAACTCAGTTAACACCGGGCCATCAAACTTTCCTGCAAGCATAAAACAAAATTGACTCACCGACTGTTGATCATTATACAAACACATGCACAAGACAGTTAGTGTTTTTGGCAAAGTGTCAGCCGCAGGATTTACACAGTATCAAAAGCATTGTGCGGCTTATTCTCCAGCTTAGGGACTGTGTTTGTTTTCTTGTTCTTGAAAAAGTTGAGAAACTTCTTAAGAAGACCTGAGATTTTCATTACTTTGTCTAAAAGTTGTCGGAGACGACTTGTTTTTTGGCTCTGTAGAGCAAATTTTGTAGTTGCAAGAGCGCTTGTGCCACCGAGGACTTTCGGTGATGAATGCGCAGCTTTTTCGGCAACAGCAACTATCGCCTGACTATCACTCAATAGTGTAAGCTGTGCCCTCTCTTCGTTGTCAATATCTTGCGCCGTTGGTTTCTTGGATTCCGAAAGCTCAGTAATTTCCGTTTCACTCACGTCCTGAGATAAGCGACGTTTCATCTGGGACACCATGTTTGAATCGGCCGAGGCAATCACGCATGCCAGCAGAGTGATAGCAGCAAGCAATGAGACTGACAAAGCGTAAAGACGCATCGACGAAGTTGGAGGCGATGTTCGTGAAGTGCGACGAATATTCGATAATGGGCAGAAGATGACAGGAAATCAACCAAGCCGCTACCTAAGCGATAGTACTATGCATGGACTGACCTTATTTGTAAGAAAATGTAAAGGGTGGGCATGGAAGGGAAGCTAGGAAAGTGCATCACATATTACGGCTGCATTCCCATTGTTATGCCATATAAATAGAATGGGTAAGTACGATACTAATGTGTACTTACGTCTAAACTTTACATCGATTGTTCAATCGACAATACTGTAGAATCGTAAATCGGAGTAGTCAGACAGACTTATGTATTATTTTTACTGTTGAATTTCGAAGTAATCTCTAATGTTTTAGCGCGCCATACAATTTAACAAAATCCATTCTTTTTTGTGTTGGCAACATTTGTGAGTAATGAAATAATGATGGACGTCAATTCTTGGTATACATAGGCTGCACGCCACACAAAAGAAAATGAAGTCAGTCTTAGAATAAAAAGGGGTAGCAAATATATTTGATGTTAGTCCAGATCGTATTGATCCAACATTTAAGTTCTCTTGAAATTACAGAGCAAATATTACCTTAGAGGCTCTCGGTAGGAGGACAAAGACTAAATTTCTACTCGCCATGGTCGCATTCAATGCGGAGTACTACTTTTGTGCCGCAAGGGCAAGACGGAGTACTAGATATGGAAGATCTTTAAGCGCGTAGAGGCAGTGGCTACTGAACCGCTCCACGGTATCCGGAGAAGTTTCATCTGCGGTGGTACAGAAGATCTGGGCTTCCGTGTCCCCTCCAAAATCACTTGAGAAGTACAAACGGGCGAACTTCTCACGAGATCAAGCTTCAGAGAGGTCGACCTTCCCAAAGCACGGCTTGATTATAAGGCTGTGATCAAGATGTTTAGTGAGAGGGTAGATACACCAGTGCTTCGTAAGCATTAATGACATGAAATGAATACCTTCTTTAAGTAATCATCCGAGTTTCCGGATTCCTTCTCGGCAAGATTGATGTGGCGCCGTTGCCACTTCGGAATAAGCACACCTTCGAACTTTGCCTATTGCAAAAGAAAAAGGCCAAACAGGCATTCAATGCATGCTTTCTACGAGCAAGTCTTTAGGCAGACGGATATTCCCTCGACGTCCGCGCTGCGTTTGTACTTTGCCATGTTTGGCATGAGTGAAAACCGTGTTGCTCCAGCTGACTCGTCAGACCTCAAGACGGATTAGACGGAGCTTTTAGATCACTCAATCCTCAATTTGAGAAAAACACTTTTTAGCATCCCAGCATGCTGTTAGTACCCAAAATCATCCCGCACGGAGTGGACAACTCTTCCTTACAACTGCTGTACCAAGTCAGGTAGCACATCTGACAAGTGATGAATTGTGAGGCGAGAAATCGCTCGCTTAGCGACGTTTTGACGCTCCTTTTGCTCTCGGTGTGAGCGAAAGACCCGTGCGTACTAGTATATTAACGCTGTACTCCTGCGGTGAGCAACGTCAGCGAATTTTACCATTAGCACGGTTCATGATTCAGGCAAGTATTGGCATGACTCGTGTGCTTGTAGATGAGTGAACTGCGTCTATAAGCCAAAACAGGATCACTGGGGAGACTATGGACAAGCGACGATGTATCGTAACACTTTTTCGCGTTAAGATAAAGTACAAAGCTCGTAACTCGTGCAGAGGAAAGGCAAAGCGTAGAGAGTGTCCCCTAATTAGCAACAGGCTTGGCTGTGTATTGCCCGGTGAGAATGTAGGTGTTTGGTCAGAAGTCGGAGTGTCGTTCATTGTCATCAAAGAGACCCTTAACATCCTCACCGAAATTGCACTAAAAACGTCGCTCACTAGGACCACAGCTTCTCCGGAGTGTCATTGGTTAATTGCACGAGAAGGGATTCTAGCTTGAGTATGCTTCGAAGTGCAGATAATTCAAAGAGTGGAGTAAGACCCGAAACATAGTTAGTGCTCGTTGTTCCTACACATGTGGTGCAATGACTTTAGAAGACGAGTGAAGTGCGGTCCCCGGTGGGACCAACAGCTTAGTAGGGACGGCTTAACGGAGTAAAATCTCTACTATTGGTATTTAAATCTGACACTTTTGTACAATCGTGCGAGCTATGAAACATTTCAGCTGTACCCACCTCAAACTTGTGTTATTGCAAAATATATGAGTGTTAAACTATCTGTACTCATAAAGATGATTGGACTCCGAGTGAGAGGTGCTTTTGGTACAAGTGGACTGCTAGGCGCATTCGTGTAATAAAGGCAGCTTTATCATTGTATTTGGTAAACTGGGTAGCTTAAGTACTCAATCGAGTTTATACTCAAAGTTTTCGACCTCCAGAGTAGCTGAGCATACTAAAATTACACGTTCCTCTATAGGCTCTCATTTCTGGTTCTGGGTGGAGTGTACGAGTCCAACTTATTTGTATTTGGTTATTCAGACTCCGATGCAAAGCTTCCTATGTGCAATGTTCACGGCAACCCCGTTGAACTGTGTTGCGCTTCTTATCATTTTTTTCGACTGAGTCGTGAAGGGATTGTATCTTTTGAGAGAACGGAACATGAGATATTTGTGTACCTATTCCTCGGTCCGCTAGACACGAGGAATAGGTACAGTACACAAATATCTCGCGGGACTTCTAATAGGTCATGCCTATTAGAAGTCCCGCGATCAGAGAACTGGTGGGAATCGCTGACCTAGAAGCGCTCACCAGATATGAGAATGTGCGGGTGGGATACTTTCAGAAACGCCTCAATCGGGCGCTGTTAGGAGTACAGATAACACCCACCATTAGGCCGAGGTCATTGGGAATCCAGCCACTTACACTTAGACGAGGATAATGTTACCATCTGGATAGAGGATGTTGAATCGGCCCCGGACTTCAAAATGAAGTAGCATTGTAGCGGGGCTGCTGTAGCTCTTTTGCTAAGAGGAGGCTAAGCTAAGGTCACCGACCTTCGTTCTCAGTACGAGTGTAGCGGATCGCAATCCGCTTACTTAAAGAGTAACCACAACCTTATCCCAAGGCAAATAAACTCTTCCGTTCAAAATGTAAATTGCATTTTGTTGTTTATTCGTGGTAAAATCGACTATATCTAAAATCAATAGTTTTTCCTAATCAAATAGTAGAAAGTATAACTACAAGCAGTCCAGCCACGTAGTGGCTTCTTGTCAAGGTGGAGCCACACTATTGTGTGGTCACACCATCTGGTGTGACCCATCCTTTCATACCAGGGTACGTGTAGCCCCGTTACACTCTCCCACGTCAAAATTGTGAGCATCCAGAATTCACGAGGCTCGCGTGGCTAAGAAACTTCTACCTCCCCAGGGCCGTCTTCACGACTTTTCTGCTCAATGAGTCCTGTGTCTAGAACACGAAAGACACCAGCCTTGCTGGTACCGATATCACTCGAGGGCAGAGCCCTTTAATGCAAGAATTAAAGGTATGTCGATTTTTTTGGAGGAGGAAATAAGCATAATATCTTCCAATTTTGAAAATTCAGCTGCAAACAAGAATAATCTAATTACGTACCAAGATACGAAAAGACTGTATCGTGGTGCTTCATAACCATGCAACAGACGATGTGGCAGAGGTCATCCTCTGTTGCTGATAGGTTTTCTGATGTTTGGTATAAACCAGTTGGCTTAATGTGTGAGCGAAAACGTTTTTGCGCCGTCTCAAAAATGAATTATCGCATGAGATTGCCAACTGAAAAGTCGATTTGTTAGTGTTAGCAACATGTGTCGCTTTAATAAAAGATTTGAGAAGCGAGAAGTTTGAGAGCTTGAATGTCGCTATAACGAAGCGCACGGACGCATGTTTGCACCCATACATCTTATTCGAATGCTAGCTGTTTTACAGCACCGACCACATTACCACACGACCCCCTTGGATGACCACCTCGGCAGGTATTGACGCACTTGTTATGTAATAACTGCTTAACACGTTCAAGTAGATGAGCACATACGCACAATCTATGAAACGCGGCAAACAATTGACTTTCGCCGACCACTGTAAATTGTTAACAGTACATATATATGGATGTAATTGTTTCTACTTCAAAAGACGCGTCCGGAAAATACATGTATGGCGGCCTTTTTTGGTTATCTGCGTAAGTAGGCTTATCTCACTGCTGTCAAACAATTTTAACCGATGAGGAGACCGCCAAGCAGCTCCTCGACAATGTTTCTGCATACAGGCTAGCCAGTGTCCATTGTGTCGGATACTTATCGCGCCGCTTGGCAAAAACGTTTTGACGAATTTTGTATTGCTAGCACTATTAAATTCTGGTCATCCGCACAGATTACCAGACGGACACGTTGTTTGCAAGGGAGGAAATCTTCCAAAATATTTACGAAGAGATACCGCAGCGTTGGACTTATTCAATTCATCAGGGTTGATTAAGACCGCGCAAGGTGTGATAAGCTTCGCCTTTGTGTATAGGATTCGGTCTTCCTTTGGTTTACTTTGACACCTACACAAAGTGAATTCGGTTTTACTCTGTCGATACAATAAGACTAATCGACATCATCTCGTCTGTAAGTTGTCGAATCATCGCATATTCATCTAAATGTGATTACGCATTACTATTGCTAGGAAGTGGTTGGTGTAGATGTCCGCGCTGGATTTTTGTATCTGGGCAACCTTGGGCGAATATGTCGTCGAATCTTGTTTGCGCGTAGTCTCGATGCGGTCAGAATATCTGCATCTCCAACGACACCGGTGCATTAAAGTTCAAGATCAACCTCTTCAAGAGAAATTCGATCAGTATACTCATTGCATGAGAGGATCGTCACTGTTTCAAAAGCAACTGATAAAAGCCATCAGCCTGCTCGAGAGCTTAGAATGCTGTGCAGCACCTCCTTCATGTCAGCGAATATTTGTATCAAAAAGAGACTGCATTTTGCATATAATAATAGTAGTCCACTGAACAAAGGTGTCTTTTGGTGCTTTACCATTCATGTGCTAGAAATCCGCAATACACACTCGTTGGTTGCGGTGGAAAATAATGCGTCAAACTTCCGCGGGGATCAGACGCCATCTTGCTTAGTATTACACGCTGAAATTGGCTCAGCAAGTCGAGACTACCTGTTTGCAATCGGAAAAACTAATAAGACTGCTACAGGTCCCGGGCATCCAAGCCGTAGGGAGTTTCGCCCCGGACCTGGATCCCTTATGTTTTTACTCGTGCAGGCCTCGTCTCCAGGAAAAAGCAAAAAGAGGAATCAAAGTCGTTCGGCGAGCGCTTTCTAACTCTTCAGGCCGCCATTCTTCGAATGTGCAGTCTAGCGTTGGAGCAGGAGCTGTCGTAAATCATAGAGATGACCGTACGCTGCATACCGAATGTTGACGTATGTGCTGTAGAGTAACTTAATCCCTTTTTATACCAGGTGGAAAACGCACGTCGTCTTGCATCTCGTTTACGTTTACAAGTCAGCTTAAGTGAAGCAGATATCAGACTGAAATGCCATTAGATGCTTGTCTTTGCCAGATATAGCGTCGAGATGGATAATCACCACCTCAGTGATTTTCTGTATACACCCTTGCCCATCTCCATGATCTTGCTGTACAGCTACCGATCAAGCCACCGGTCAGTGAAACGCATTACGCTGGGCGAGGTAAATTTCTTCTACATAGAAGGCCAGACAGAAATTTGCTAATTTGTAAGCAGAGACGGCACCGTATAATCTTGCCACAAATTCTGGTGGGCTCTCCGAGTAAGAGTATCCTCTTCATATTAACAGATACGGACAAGAATTCAGTGAACTCTTCATCTCAAAATACAATACAAATTGAAGTCGGTCACTTTTTGTTTATCGAGTAGTGAAGGATTTGGGGACGACAAAGACATCAAGGTGCTAACTCTCGTGATCTCTTAATCATGGTGATACGACGACTCTCTTCGAGAAATGTGGTAGGGTCCATATTGATATCAGCTAAGTATCGGGTTACCTATCTGAGCAGCACCATCTTTCGGGGTGCCTGAAGGAAGTTTAAATGGTTTAGCATCGTATCACCATTGCCCTAGATCAGAAGTAGTCCGGCGACAGAGGATGCTTGAGACGTTTCTCCGTATTTGATAGCGCACGCGGCATGTAAAAAAAGATTGTGACTTGACTTCAGATATCCCTTTTAAACCACAAATTGTTTTTTGCATTCTCCTCAATGTGCTGAAAACTCAGATAAATTGTTCTGGCAACGATCCTTAATGAACCGAAAAAATAGCGAGGCCAAAACTCATCTTGGAGATTAAGTCAAACGTAATCAATGCAATTTCACCCGCTACTTATCCATCCGTGTGTATCGCCTGTATCTGGCATTTATATGTTGCTTTCAAGTACCCCCTCGGTCTCAGTCGAAGCGTCGCTTACTCAGCAAATGACGCACTCTCTCATTAAATCGAAACCCAGATTACTCTATGAGATATGACAGAGCTGATGTGATCAAGTCAAATCAACTCAACTGGATCTTAACAAGGATCAAAATTTACTTCGTGGTGATGTAAAAGGATCAAGGTTACATCAAACAAATAAAAAAGGGGGTACCTCGACGCTTTAGCGAGATGCCAGCTTAAGCCCAACGAATCATGCATTGCGTTTAAGCTGGCATCTCGCTATAGCGTTGCGGTCGCTCCGCTAAATTAACGATTTGTCACTTATTGACTAACGCGTTTTGGCTGATGTTCTGTCTCAGGATGATACGCTTAATCCAATGATCAGCTTCTTGAACGGCTCGCCGAAACTTCGCTGTTAAGCGCGGATCTCTATCGCTACTGGTAAGCCCTGTCAAAAAACCGTTGTAGAGGAATGCTTGACAGCTTACCTGGCAGCAGCAAGATATCCATCCTGCTCACAGGGCTCACAAGACCACAATGCCAGTATTACTGGTCATATTTGTAAACAAAAAAGCAACCATACTGCCATAAAAGTGTTAGTTAACACTTTTATGACACCGGCAGGATTGCTTGTGTATCGCCGTATGCGGACAAGATCAATTTTGCTAACAGTTTTTCAAATGCGCACACATGTGCGCACCAGCTTAATCATGTTGGACTAGCAGTGCATACAACTTACTAGGCAGTATGTTCTCTCGTTTTTGAGGTGGTCATTCAAAAAGTGTCGTTTGAGTCATATGATTATCTATCATCAAGAACTTTATCACAAGACAATTACCACAAATTGAGTCCGAGTTGTAATGCAGCTATCCTTCGTCATCATTCCATATCTATTCTATAAAGACTAGCAATAAGGTAAGTCATGTCGTGTAATTCGCACTGTACTTGTGCACGAAGTTGGACAGGTCCAGCCACTAACTTAGCTTTGCAGCGACAAAGCACTGGCGAATCTACAATGATCGTTATTCTTGCGTTAAATAGGTTACACACTCCAATTTGGCAAACAGGTACTTAAAGTACATACACTTGAGTACCGCTCGCGGGCGTTTCAGGTCGACTCTCTGTGATCCACAGGACTTCGGACTTGTATAATGTCAGAATAGGTTTGTACAAAATCACGATTTGGCTCGAACAGCTGCTCCGCTAGATGTCTAAATGTTGCTGGTGTCTTATGCAGCCCATGTGGTATCTCAAGTGGATTATGTTTGGAGTGCTTACCGTAATTAATAGAAAATGACTGCTCCTCGGGATCTATCCATATAGTTACTGACACCGTTTAGAGCAATGAAGAAAGTATAACTATCCATGCTGCTCATACAAATTTAAACGATCGGCGTTTGCACCAAAAATGTATCTTCATATAGTCTATTACAGGCATGCACACTTCGTCTCCTACCGTTAGCCCCAGGACGCGAAAAAATCGACGCCAAGTGCAGACATGTTCTTTTCAGTTCGTTCATTGCGCAGAAAAAAGCATTAATGAGATCACATTGACTATTTGGTACGATCCTTGATGTATGACTCAGTATTTGATTCCAGGAATTAGATCGATCGCATGGCGCACTTTCCAATCCGAGGCGAAATAAATTCAGTGGGGCTCTTGTCACCACGTAATATTCGTTAAAAATGAATGATAACGATCAAGTAGCTCATATCTTGTACTGATTGCCTTCAATGACATAATTTTCCGTGATGACGGGTGGTGAGCTCTTAGGATCACCTCCTCCTTCGGTACCACTCATATCATAGGTTAAATCACCGTCTTGCACATTGCTGCAAACATCCCCAAGACATATATTTCAAGTTCTATTAATACCGCTGCCAGTGGTAATGAGCGGAGACTCAAGAACGTTGCAATATTCGAGTCACTCCATCAAGAGCTGAATAATATTTTTCTCCACTAGCACGTGGAGCTGTACGGTTTTGCACGGTGGGCCATTTAACGGTATTGCTAATCCAGTGATACCATTACATTGTGACAAGGATGAGCCACTGTTAATAAGCTTGGTACCAGGATCTTAAATTTGTGACTCATAGTCGCTCGTTCTTAACGGTCCCGGCACACAAAGCCGCAAAACACAAAAATTCGTTTTAGACTCTACCGAACCTGGAACCTGAGACTGCAAAACACAGTCACACTTACTCCTACTCACTTTGCCTCAGAATACGACAGTTTCTTGCTACACCTCACTATCCCATTGAAGGTACATACGGAACCTGCGACGTGTCAAACCGTTCCAGCAATATTACGCGATATGCAGTTTATATTCATCTTGGACCGTGGCCCGCTGCAGCGCAAAAATCTCTTTTACTTCTATCGCGCGGGAGTTGTTAAATGAACCTTCGTGTTAGCCCTTCCCCTCATACTTCTTAGCCGAGAGAGAAGCGGACACGCAGAGTACAGATGTTCGATGCTGCCATATATTAAATATATCTGCGAGTACCACAGTGCTGCTCGGCAGCCAGAAGCGCGCTCGCTTTTACACCTTCCATACTACAACCGTCCCATGCAGTATTCGCAGTTGTGCAATCGAATGGTTTCCAAAAGAGTATTGACGCTGAAAGTTTCGATGTGTCTCGAAAAGTGTTCATGGTCCTCAGACATCAGCTTTGGGTGAGTGTCTGCGCTATCGCGGTAATGAGAGAGTCCAGCTTTTGGACTTTGTAGGGTTTGAAGCAAATCGAATAATGAATTAGTGGTTAACAAAAGAAAACTATC